TGAAGCATTGGAGCAGGCTGTCCAAGGAAGTGATGGAGTCACTGTCCCTGGCAGTGTTCAAGAAACATTTAGATGAGGCACTTAGGGACTTGGTTTAACATGCATGATGTTGATGGGTTTACGGTTGGACTTGATCTTAAAGGTCTTTTCCAACCATTATGATTCCATTCTACAGAATGACTGAAGCAACAGGCAGAGAACGTCGAGATAACATAGACTTGCAGATTTATATGCTCACTTACGCCGCTTCGGAGCTGGGCTTGCTGTTTCTGGGAGGCAGGCTGGGGGCCGCTGGGGCCTGCAGCGATGGGTGAGAGGCTGGTGGAAGAGGTGGCAACTGCGTGGCAGCGTGTGGGGGAGGCACAGGCGGCGAGAGCGCTGCCGAGGAAGGCACTTGCTGCTTGAAACCTTCCTTTCTTGGGCCTGAAAATAACAAAACAGATTCATTTATCAAGTAAACGGCTCAAGGACAAAGATAAAAACTCCCTGTTTACCTGAACAGTCTACAGAGCATGTTGTTGAATCTATTGCTTAGGTATATTTAGTGCCTTAACTTAGCACCATCAAGAGCCGCTGCCTAGAAGAACTTACTACTAGCAGGCCTTGAAATTGTCTTGCCAGAAACAAGACACAAAAACATCAGTGGAAAAGACACAAAAACATCAATTTGTTAATAAAACTAAGTTTCCATTTAATTCTGCAAATGTTTGCGAAGACCAGCTGCACACCGTCACATGAACACAGATGCAGCCTAGCTGTAGTTTTTCTTGGTTAGTGTGAGAGAGAAAAAGATATTTGGCATCAATTAAGAGCTGTACATGGCTTCCCATATATTGTCAAATATTTTTGTCATTTAACCTGTGAAAGACTGGACTCGATTTTCTACACTTGCAAGCCTGCACTAGAAAAGTGGCTGTTGGGATGCTATGCTCTCAACAAACAGGTGCAGTCTTAAAAACAAGTCGGAGCACCAGCCTCCCAGAAGCCATGATTACAGTGTGGGCTGCTGCACACGTGTTGTGCACCAGGGTAAAAAACAGGGAAAAGAAAACCACAGCAACGCTCACGGTCTGCTTCCCTGGGAGTTTGCATGCAGAGGCCGCACTCACACACGAGCAAGTGAAATCAGTGCTTGAATGTTGAACCTAGAATTCAGTTTGAATATCCCTAGTGGATTTAAAGCAACTGGGAAAAAATAGCATTAGCTGTTTGGCAGAAAGTCCAACAAAATCTAAGGAAGAGAAGAGAAAGAAGGAGAAAAGAGAGATGCAATTTCAGACATCAGTTAAACCAATAACAATCTAAAAATCCTTATGATCTTCTCTAGACTTTCTACAAGTTCACATGTGTATAATGAAGATTACAATCTTCTTAAACCTCAAATCAGTAGAAAAAGTGGCTTAAACACAACAAAAATATTTAGTAGAGCTTAATATTCTGACAAAGTTTGTAAAACCACTGCAAGAGCTTTCTTTAGTTGTTTGGGAGTCTGAAATCCCATGGAACAAAATCCACTACAGATTGTATTTTCGTAACTTTTCAAAGCAATGAAGAAGCTTCAATTTGTCCACGATGTATGTATAAGAGTATTAGGAGTTTATCACCTGTCCCTTTTGAGATAATCACATTGTTTTTATTTTGATGTGTAGTAAGAAAGAAATGCAATGAGGTTCCAGAAGCCCGTTCTGCCAGACACTGAACACAGGACAAACCAAATAGTCTTCGCCCCATTTTTCCATGAAAAGAGGAATATATAAAATGCAGGAATACAAAGAAATGAACAGTCAGTATTGTGTAATATAATAGTCAATAGCAACAAAATTTTCCACTGGGATTTTTTATAGGCGACATTGGTAAATTCCTTCTGAGAAGCTTTGCCATGTGCTAGCAGAGTGACCTCATAGGAAAGATGACAAAGCAGGACACATGATTATGCCACTGTACAAAAACATAGCACTGTCTTGAATACTGTCAAATCCTGAATTCTGGTCATTTCATCTCAAAAAAAAATATTTGAAAGTGCTAGGATGTTCAAAAATACAGAATGTCTTCTATAAAAGAATTTGAAGTGATCTGGGCAGTGTAGCCTGAAAAGACAACACAGGGGAAAGATACCATAAGAATACTTAAATTTTTGAAAATGAAATTATTATTATTCATCTTCTCTGCTACTAGAATTGGGGAGAATCAAATAAGTATGTAGATTTGAGAGAAGAAGGTGGTGACTCCACAGAACATGTAAACAATCTACAGAACTCCTTGCGGCAGGAGATTTTGAATGCCAGGTTTAAAGAGAGACTAGAAAAAGTCCCAGTAGAAAAACACAATGACAGTTATTAAATATGACACCTTTGGCTCAAGCAGTTCCACATGTGCAATTTTTTGGTTCCTGGGAGAAGACAGTGAGGAAGTATCACTACCTACTTGCCCTCCTTTTGTAACGTTCTCTAGGCATCCACTTCAGATTGTTGTTGAAAGCAGAGTACAGGATGAGAACCATTATTTTTACACTCTTATACTAAGTAAAAGACATGGATGTGGGAGAGATGGTCCTATACAAGGTCAGTTTTTTTTTTTTTTTTTTTTTTTAATGTAAAGAACACCAGAACAAACTTAAGAACATACAAATGACTGAATTGATGGCATAAGTTGATATCTGGCACTTTGTCCTGATATATTCCCTGTCTCTATCTGCCAGGAGTTTGGGAGCTGCCTAAGCTAGATTTGGTTTCTATGTATTAGCGATTCTCAAAGAAGTTTCTCAGGGCTGTGTTCCATCAAGTTCTGATTATTTCCAGTGATACCATCGCATCTCTGGGCAACCTGCCCTAGTGTTTGAAACCCTTTTTTTTTTTTTTAACTTTTCTCTAAGTGTCATACAACATACTCATACAATATCTCAGACTAGATAACTTCTTTATGTGTCTTCCAATGCCCTGTATTTTACAAGACATGACATTTAACACATATGTTGAGCTCAACAGCTAGACTAATGTGTAATTTTGACTGAAATTTTTCTTTCAGAAAGACATCCTAATATTCCAGAAAATATGAGAATCTATGATACAGCGTTTGTTTTACTTAGTTTCCTTACTGTTAAAATCTGCATCTTAGCCCTTTCTAAGGCTTCTGCTTCTATTACTTTTTCTTCTAAGGAATATTTGCTTTGAGTAAAGACACAGTTTGTTTGAATAAGATGAGATTACAAATGATTGTGCTCCCTCTGCATGACTCCCTGTCCTCATTTAACTCTCTGCAGTCTTTATTTTATCTTCAGACTTTATCTGGGGTAATTTCCTATTGTACTGAGGTCACTGATAACAATGATAGATTGTACTGAAGAACTTAGCATATACATGGAGTTAAATTCTGGAATTCTTTTGACTAGACATATATTCTAAAGAAAGAATGAAGACAGAAAGATTCGATCTTTGTAAAAGCAATTTTAATTGGTTTTAATTACACTTTTTAGTGCTTTAATATAGTGAACTCTATGTCAGTTTTCCATTGTCTATTTATATAGTCCAAATATAAAGTTGTGTACGTGCACAAAAATTGTATGCCTAATTACATATATGTATTATGCCACCATATATTTTTACTTCATTGTGGTTAACCTGTGGGACTGAGGAAAATTCTGCCTTGTATTTCTTTCATCTGAGCTCTACTGAAAGCCAGAACAGGGCAATAGCAAATTAAGGCAGGAAAGGATGCCAGGTACACTTTAGATTATGTGCTTATTTTAAAAGGGCTGAAGAGCCTGTCCCTTTTCATCTGCATACCTTGCTGGAATCTGTCAGTTACTAAAGGATGGTCATGATGGAAACTTTGTTTGCTTGTTTCCTATTTCCTAACTATAGTTAGGAACTATAGTTAGAACTGCCTTTAGAGGTGCAATTGTCTGACTTAAACTAACTGAGCCTACTGTAAGTATAAAACACTTTAATATTGAAAAGAGGGATAAGGGAAAAGAGGGAAAATGGGATGAGTTAGACAAGAAGGCAATACTCACTATAAAAAAGCTGTTATTATCAGGCTCAATGAGACAAAGCTAGCAAAATATTTCAATAGTTTTTGTTTATTTGTGTATGTGAGACTCTTAGTACCTACACTGAGAGTATAGAAAGATTCTGCACCGGTGCTGGAATTGAAGTCAGTTCAGGATACGCAGAATGAGATACCGTATTGATATTACATCCTGGCTTCATGTGCACCCAAAACACCACAGGAAACTGTTAAGGACCACAGCTGTGCACTAGCTTGACCACTAACCCCCTGGTTTCCAGATGGCCTCTTCTCCCCTCTTGAGATACCCAGCTTTTTCAGATTCTGTGCTGAGCTGAAGAAACAGATGCAGAAGCTGAAGTTGTTAGGAGATTAACCAAAAAAAAAAAAAAAGAAAGAAAAGAAAAAAAAAAAGAAGAATGAAAAGGAACGAGTTCCTCCAAAGCTGTGCAGCTGCGCAGGAGCTGAGAGAAACATGCTGTAGAAACTACCCATACAAAGCACCAAATATCACATTATAGAGCTAGCTACCTGCGGTAACTTCTTTTATAATCCTAGCACTCTTGCATTATAGTTTGCAAAATGTTGCAAAGAAGTCTTAGGAAGCCTTCTCAATCTTTGCACATGCAACAACCAAAAAGTCACTTGTTTTCTTGTAGAACAGTCTCTCTTCAGGAAGTTGAAGACATTGTAAGCGCCTTGATGTATAACTGGTGACTTTGACCCTTGCCATTCCTGGCTTGTGAAAGAGAAGTAGCAATGCCTCTTCAGTAGCTAACACAATATCTAGAGAAAGAACCCATCTTCCCTTTCTTCTTCATATCTTCTGTGTTCAACAGCCTCTGTTGAACCTGAATATAAATCACCCTGAATATAACAGTTCTAAATAATTTCCACATCTCCTAAATGCATTCGAAGATAAATAAGTAAAAAGCCCCAAACAATCCTAACTATTTGGACCTTGTGTAGTCTATGTGGTCACAAGAGTCTGACAACAAGTTTCAGAACGTGAAAAACATCCACTCTCACCATTCTGGAACCCCTAGTGACTCTCACGAGGTGCTGTATCATGCCTGAGATGTGTGGCAAGGTCAGGAGGGAAATCTCAACAGAGCTTGGGGTAGGTACTTTTTGGAGGAATACATGCAGTACAGGGCGAGGTGATAGCAATCTCATTGGAAACTGCTTGGCCAGGACTAGGTCTCCCTGGTCCTTTTCAAAAACAAGAAAGATTGGACCTATGTATAAGGGTGATATGAACTCAAGTTTGACAAATGTGGAATGTCACATCTCTATTCCCTCCCTAAATACAAGGTCGTCTCACTGCTTAGATGAGAAACTGGCTCACAGATGGAGAACGCAATCTCATTGTGAACATTTGTAGAACAGTAGCAATCAGAGAAATATATTTTTAAGCG